TTTTAGTTGCTCTGTCACAACAGTGCAAAAAGTAGGACAAGCAAAAAAACGCTTTCCAGCGTGAAAAACTATCGTAAACAGTATTAAATTTTACCAATATAAACACTGATGCTATATTTATACTGAACAGTTGACAAACTTGATTGATTAGGCTACAATTAGCTCGTAAACAATACCTGCAGCTGTTGTATTTATTCCAAATGATGCAACAAAGTTCACTTTTCAAAATATCAAAAAATAACTTTTTTCTAAAAAAAACTTATTGAATGCCCATACTAATTCATCAGGAAACACTTGCCCAGTATTATATAGCCTTTTCTTACACATATCTTGACAACTGATTGAAAACAATACAGGAATGAACAGGTATTAACAAGAAAACAAAAATTTGCTTCGAAAAAGACAAACAAGCCGTCCCAGATTAAAACCCGGAAGTGAACGCGAGATGCATACGTCATTTTCACGTCCTCTTGACGTCCGCGTCTTGTTATCTAAAAGCGTCTATTTATAGCTCAATGGGATATTCCGACCCCGTATGAGATCAGAGTAGCACTGGAGCGTGCAACTGTCATATTTAGTTTCTTCGAGGGTTTCTTAGCGCTTGCCGCTTGTCCCTGGACAATATATTAGGTGTGTTAATGGGGGAGGGCCTTTCAAATGAGTGAAATGACAAAGAGCACAGTGGCAAAGAGGAATTTAGATTCACAGTTAACGTTTATGTTCAAATATCTCATCTGTTGTCACTCGCAGCATCCTTGATTTTCCATCTTGTCATCCGATTTTCGTCAACACAACTGCCGTTTTGTTTCGTTTTTTTTCTAAGGGTATCCCTCAGAAAATTTTGAAAATTACAAGCTCGGGAAGTGCTTTTCCAGCTATTTCCCAAAATAATTTTAGGCAGATATATTTCTGTGAAACACATGTCTACTGTAGTGAAATTAGTCATGGACCACCTCAAACACTGAACTACGATAAATCAGTATATCTAAGAAACGGTTTTCGGTTAAATGTTACTCTGCAAAATGGGATTTCATACACTGGAAATGGGGTTGAGACTTGAGCAAAACATAGGCTGGGATGATGATCTGGTAAAAATTTGGGCTGCGAAACTAGGATTAGGCCAACCTCGTACCCAGGCTTCAATTCGCGACTAGCCCTGGGTACGAGGTTGGGATTAGGCCACCCCCCTCCCCCACTTTCAGACAACCTTCAGTTTCGAACATAGAGCTCAGAGTTGAATGCTAATGGCGGGAAATTTGACCAATAGAAATGCTTGAAATGAAGATTTCTGAAGTGTTCAGTTTGCTGTTGCTTCGCCCTAGACTACAGTCTGCCGCATACTGAGAATATATAGTTGTTAATCTTTATTCTCACTAGCAAAGGAAAATGCCACGACCTAAGAAAGACCCCAACAAGCCAAAAGGCAAAATGACATCTTATGCTTTCTTTGTGCAAAGCGAGAGAGAAGCCATGCGAATTCGAAGCAAAGAGAACGGAAAAGACGAAATGCCAAGCTTAAGCGAGCTTTCTAAATTCTGTAGCGAGAAATGGAAGTGTCTAGACGAAGCCAAGAAGGCTCCTTTCGTGAAACTAGCTGAAAAAGATAAAGCGAGATATGATGAAGAAATGGCCTCGTATGTCCCTAGCGAAGATGATCAAACACCCAAGAAATCTCGTAAAAGAAAAAGACAAGTTGACGAAAATCACCCAAAAAGAAACAAGTAAGTCAAGTTTATACTATTTAATTTTTATGGCCCAATACATTCATTATAGTTCACTTGTATTGTCCTTATAAGTATAGCTTTTGCAGGAAATTCCGATCTGTACAAGGTTTAATTTAAAATAAAACTACATTGGTAAATACTTTAGAAGTAAAAACTATTTGGAGTTTTAGTACTATACTACAGTATATCACAAATGTGCGCCGGCATTTTCAGCGATCAGATTTCCCTACTATAAGCAACGTGAACAACTGTTCTTGAATAATTTTACTATACAATGAATTTTTCTACAATAAGCCAGAGAAAAACAAAAAAGAAAACAAAGAAATGCAGCGATGTGTGCAACAGCAAATTGAAAGCTATAAAAGAATTCAATGTCAAAATTTTAGCGTTGTCAAAAAACGTGTGTGAAAAGCCAGCCCACCTGGGTCTTTTGTGGTTGTTTTTACAAAACGTATATTGTATTAAATGGATATTAATGTTCTTAAATACTTCTGTGTATAGCATTTGTAGTTTTGGAGGAATCACGTCAAGCCAGAGCCAAGAAAATTCCTCGCACAGCTGCCGACAATGAATGACATATTATATTAAAAGCTCATATAAAAGGCCGATAGTCCATTACACAAAACTTTTGTCTAAAACTGTCGCATGCAACCGCGTAGGCAGCAACTTGAATTGTACTGTGTAAATCAAGTAAACAACACGTTGTCGAAGGTGAGCTGTGTGCTCAATTTACCCAGTGGTCCCAGTACAACTTAAGTTGTAAGCAGGTTACGTGCGGTAGTTTTAGCCGACAAAAGTTGTGTAGTGGAAATTGGCCTAACATAAGGCATGCTTTCTCTTCAGGCTAGAATTGAAGTCAAAATATGAAATTTTTTTAAATTTCCATTTGTTTCAGGCATTGAGATTCTTGGGATATTTGTTTTACTGAGTTTTTTGCATGATAACTGATGACTTGATTCTTGAACTTGAATCTAATAGGTAGGCTATGGGAAATCTGGAAAAATCTGAACCAGCCGGGCTGACCCGGTTAACCAGCATGATTCATGTAAACATCCAAAATGATGTTTTAAAGTTGAATTAGCTTCTAAACTTTGATTCCAGTATTCAGTAACAGTATATAAAGTTCGTTCAAACGATTTTTTCGTTTTATTAATTATGCTAGGAAAAAAATTTCGTCATACGAATCTAGGCTGGCTCATATTAATGAACAGCCCAATGAAAACAACTGGAGAATTTGAAACAGAAAGGGGCCCCTATCTAAAAAATTTTTTTCCGGATACCTCCCCCCCCCCGTCGCCAAAAAATTTTCGGTCAGTGTACCATTTTAGGGGTAAAAATTTTTTTCCGGAGTACAAAATTTTGCCGGACATTTTTTTATGCCAAAATTCGGTACTTAGGACAAGATATCTGTTTTCTTGGGCTAAGTACCGAATTTTGGCATAAAAAAATGTCCGGCAAAATTTTGTACTCCGGAAAAAAATTTTTACCCCTAAAATGGTACACTGACCGAAAATTTTTTGGCGACGGGGGGGGGAGGTATCCGGAAAAATTTTTTTTAGATAGGGGCCCCTAAAAAAAAATTGCCCGGGGCCCCTAAAAAAAAAATTGCCCGGGCCCCCGCCAACCTCTGGGCGGAAATATTCTGCGCGGAAATATTTAACACACAAAAAAGGCTGGGGCCCTACAAAAAATTTTCAGGGGCCCCCAGCAACTTGGGGCCCGGGGCAATTTGCCCCCTTTGCCCCCCCCCCTCTGGGCGGCCCTGATGATAAGTATTACCTGTAAGGATTAAGGACTTATAACAATGCAGGTTAGTTTGTTGTCAGCAACATCAGAAAGATAGCCGAAAGCTGCCATGATTAACACGTACGATATTCCACTAGTGGCTTCCAAACCGAAGTTATTTTATATACAGGGTGTATCAAAAAAAAACTGAACAGATTTGAAATTGCTCTCAATTTCGCAAAACACCTATTTGTAGCTGGTTTTATATATATATAGCTTCTTTGTGTACTTATAAAGTAAAATAATGAAAAAAATTTCTCGAACTCAAATTTTGTGAACCAGGGGGGGTGTCTTTCCCAACAAACTAAAAATGACTCGCGCACAAAATTTAAAAGCTGTAATCATATTTTGAGTTAATAGATTGACAATTTGTCGGGTTTTTAATTACTGTACAAAATTTCAAACAATTTGGTTTAGTTTAAGCCCTTCAACTATTCATTTTGTTCTAAAAAGTCAGCATTTCGCATGCTTAATTAATGCCTTTACCTAATTTGCATATTGCTGACATATGCAAATTAGGCAAATGCATAATTAAGCATGCAAATAGCTGATTTTTCGGGAAAATTGTAACTTTGCGTGAATAGTTAAGGTGCTTAAACTAAACCAAATTGTCTGAAATTTTGTACAGTAATTACAATCCCGACAGATTTTCCATCTGTTATCTCAAAATATGATTGCAGCTTTTAAATTTTGTGCGCGAGCCATTTTTAGTTTGTTGGAAAAGACACACACCCCTGGTTCACAAAATTTGAGTTCGAGAAATTTTTCTCATTATTCTACACTATAAGTACCCAAAGAGGCTATATATATAAAAAACCGGATACAAATAGCTGTTTTGCGAAATTGAGAGCAATTTTAAATCTGTTCAGTTTTTTTTTATACACCCTGTATTGTCAACGGCTTTTTCACTTGACGAGAAGATGAAGCCAACAGTTTGGATGCGCCCTTGTGAGGCTTGTCTGTTGATGTGTTACTCATATGACATGCATATTTACCACTCAGATATAAAGCTGGGCAAACTTTAAAGTTTAAAGCTCTGGTCAAACGAGAATGAGAGTTGAAAAGATTTTGCTTGAGAATGTTCTCAACTCTCATGGCCGCGGGTGGAACGAGAACAAGAGTTGCATGAGAGTTTATGAGAGTTGACTGGATATTACCGCGCGCGTAGCGAAAGCTCTCATCAAAATTTGAAGCAACTCGGTCGATAAGAGTGCATGAGAGTTGATAAGAGTTGTGAAACTCGAGCGAAAGTTGTAACTCTCATCAACTCTTGGCGGCTCTGGTGAGCTACTCGTGAGCCACTTTTTTGTTCTTCCCTCGTTATGATTTATGACGTCATACTATGCATCTATAACTGAACAGACAACGGCATAATCAGGGACGTCGCGAAGGAATCAACATGGGGGGGTATCGTCTTGTGTTAACCAACTGGGGGGGAGAAATGTCAGTTTTAAAAACATTTTCCCGGACGGACTAACATTAACAAAGCTTAAATTTTTTTCCGTACAAACATAACCAAATATTTACTTTTACCAAATTTTAAGAACTTTTATCTCAAACTTTAACCAAATTTTACCAAGCTTCAGGGCCTTTTTTAAAGGTGATCTACAGTCCGATCTGCGCATGTGCACAAAGGAGCCCACTTTTTATGATACAAACAGTTTAACTATGTTTTGGGTTCTTGAAAAGCCTGATTATTGTTTCTTGATCATTTATTATACTCTAGAAGCTTGAAAATATAAATAGTTGT